GTTGCGTAGAGACGTAGTGGACTTAAATCGGAGCTGTAACGAAGAAGTTACGGGCAAAACATCACCAGTGGCAAAATCGTAAATATTTTGAAAATGGATTTTTGATAAAAAGACGGAACTGCCCTCGTCTCTCTCTCTCTCTCTCTCCTCCCGCGCGTCTCTCACTCTCTCCTCTGGTTTTCGCGACAGCCACCATGGCCGGCCACGTTTTGGCCGGCCGTGCTCTCGTCTGGCCACCAAACTTGACAGGGCCGGTACCAAAATGATCGGGCCGCCGTCCTCTTCCTACCCCAGCCAGGTCCCCCCGCCAGCCGCCGTGATTTCGCCGGAAAACGAGGAGAAAAGCTCCGATTTTGACAGAAACTTCGCCGGCTTCGTTCTCCGTCGTCCGGCCACCGATTCCGGCAAGTGAGGTATGGTTTCTCACCTATTTTCCGAGCTCTAGCTGCCTGTTGGGTAGGAATTGATCAATTTGTAGCGTAGGCAACTCGATTTACAAATTGGGTTTCAGCCGGATTTCGAGGGGAGATTCCGGCCACTTTCGGTTAGATTTTGGGGTACGTCCGAACAAAAGTGACTCCAAATTAGGTGTATTACCTAGGGTAGGAGTCTTGGCTCTTGATTTGGAAGTTTTCCGGCGATGCGATATCGCTTTGGACACCCACGCACTGCCGGCGCGTGTGGCGGCGCGTGGGCACTATACTTGAGGGGCATTTTTGTCCCACTGTGATCCTCTCGATGTCACGAGCGCGTAGGTGTGCTCGGATCTCATTTTGGGTACCGTTAGAGTCCTGAACGGATATTGCATATTACATATTTTCCGGGTTCGCTAGGTTTGGACCGTTGGATGGTCATGAAGTTATAATATGTTGATCTAGGTATTACCAGGATCGTGTAGGATTCGACGGATCATAAAACGGAGTCCCGGATACTCCGGAAATGCCAACCCTAGGGTTAGGGTTTTAGTGACCGTCCGATCGTGTGATCATGAGCGATCCGACCATCCGATCTGGACCAAACTTGCAGGACATGTGTCCTAGAGCCTGTAGAACCTATAAGAACTTTCGGATTGGAATTTGGAGGTTGTGGGCCCCGCGGGCCCGTTTGACCCTAGGTTGACCGTGAGACTTCCGAGATAGTCTTACCTTTCTTTGAGGGTTAGAATGACCTTAGTGACAGGTCTTGTGCGTTGTTGAGTTAAAGGGATATTGTTGGTTTAGGATATAAATTGATGAATTTGTTTGGGCCAAAAATTGACACATCCAGCCCAGCGAAAAGAAGGAAGCCCAAAAAAACCAGGATAGTCCAGCCCAAGGCTCATCAGCAAACAAGACTGATTTGGGCCTCACAAGCCCAAACATAATAGGAGAAGGGAGTCCAGAAGAGGGAACAGTCCCACATGGCAACTTCTGGGATAAAAAGTCAGCAAATGGCGGAAGTCAGCAGGGATGAAAAGTCAGCAATGGCAGCCTCTGGGATGAAAAAGTCAGCAATGGCAACTGCCATAGAAGAAGTGATTGAAGGGTTCGTGACAGCAAGAAGAACTGAAGATTAAATCCCCCTTATATATGTATATTCAGAGATTTTTCTTCTGTCCTCTCAGAGAAGGTAATTCTCCTAAGGAGATAAGCAAGTTACAATCTCAGAGAGGGATAAGCATGAAAGCAGGGAGCTGTCCAGGAAAGGAATCAAACTAACCATCACGGTTAAAATATCACAAGGGGCAGCTGAAAAAACAGGGAAGTGATCACCTATCTGAGAACCTATCTGCCAAAACTAGGGGTGAAGAGGAAAAGGGGGGAAAATATCTTTGCCGCCCAATAAAAAACACAATCACCCTACTCCAGAGAAGAAACAGTTTTACTATAAATACAAGAAGGGGTGGACAGGGTAA